AGTGATTTGTATTCAGTTATTTTATCTTTGTAGTTATGGTTTTCTAACGATTCGTTATTAGTCTTTTCATGCAAACCTAATTACTAAACGGTAATAGCAAGTATAAAAAAAAGACAATAAAGGTGCAGAAAGTAAAAGCAGAAAAGATAAACCTAAACCTATTACACGACTTTGGGGCAGTTACATAATAGAAAGCGGAAAGTAAAAACCCTAAGCTATTAAAACCCGAAAAACAGTTACATAATAATGAAAAAGGAAAGCGATAAATCTAAGCTATTACAAATTGCAAACCCCATACACTTTATCTAAGAAAATAAATAAATAAATAGAGAAAAAAGAAATGTTTTCGATGATATTTTTATGGAAAAGGTTTTTTAATGATGATTAAAATAAACCTAAAAACTAATTAACTTTAATTAACAAAAATAGTTGATTAATTAAATTAATAAAAAAAGGTTAATGATGAATAAACCTAAAAACTAATTAATTTTAATTAACAAAATGATTGATTAATTAAATTAATAAAAAAGGTTAATAATGAAAAATATAAAAATTAATTAATTTTGATTAACAAAATAATTGATTAATTAAATTAATAAAAAAGGTTAATGATGAAAAACCTAAAAATTAATTAATTTTTATTAACAAAATAATTGATTAATTAAAAAAAAGGTTAATGATGAAAAATCTAAAACCTAATTATTTTTAGGATTTACAAAAAAAATAATTATTTTAGGTTTGTAAAAAAAAGGTTTTTGATTTGTGGTTTTATGGTTAGGTGAATTTAGGGTTTAAGAAGGGGGGGGGGGGGGGGGGGGAATAGGGAAAAGAACAAGTTAGAAGCAAAATCACACAAAATGTCAGAGGTGAATGTTGAACCCACGCCCTTAGCCTTCCACACTACATTAAGGGGGAAAAACAAGTTAGAAGCAAAATCACACAAAATGTCAAGGGTGGGTGTTGAACCCACACCCTTAGCCTTCCACACTGCATTAAGAACAAGTCAGAAGCAAAATCACACAAAGTATCAGGGGTGGATGTTGAACCCACGCCCTTAGCCTTCCATGCTGCATGGTTTACCACTGTGCCAGAGCTCACATATTATGCATCAAACATGCTCTAATGATGTATATGAACACATGTAAACATACCAAATTATTTAACAATGCATAAATCAAAGGTTTGAATTTTAAAAAAAAAATATCAAAATCGGTGAGGATGAACATGATGTTCTGGGTACGATCTTGACAGCTTGAGGATTGGGATGGATTCCTGGGCACTTCAAGATGATAATATAATGTTTGGTTTCAATTGAGAAGGGCTGGAAACAAGGGTTTTGTGTTGCCCTAGTTTCTTGAATTTTTGGAAGTTTTGGAATAGTTTTCTCTGTAAGGGTTTCCGTGTCTAGCTTTTTTGTATGCATGGAGAATAAATAGTGATGAATTAGGTCAAACAAAATTGGACTTGGACCTTGTAAGAAAAGTCTTGACTTTATCGTATTTAATTTTGAATTTAAATAAATAAAATAAAATAATAGAATAAAAAGGTCAAGGGGTGCATGAGTAAGATGTGAGGTTCATTATAAGCTGCAAAACACGTTTGGATTTTAAAACACAAGCCCATTAGCCCAAAAATTCGAGTTTGATCAATTTGGATTTCATGTATTTTTTCGAAATTTCCCAACTTGTGCCAATCACAACTTTCTCAATTTTTATCATATGAAAGTGATCTTGGACTTTTTAGAAAGATCAAGATGTCCCCCTACAATCTATATGTTAATCATTTTTTCATTTGAAGAATTTATCTTAATGTATGTTGCCTTGATACAAAGTGTCTTTTTGTTAACTTTTGGAATGACCTATAATGTTTTTGCCCATACCTCTCAAATGAAGCATCTTTTTGACTTGAGCTTAGAGAGACAAAGTTATAGAGAATTTAATTTCCTTCAAAACGAGCTTTGGTTGAGAAAAATCTGATGAAGCATGTGAAAGTTATGCTTGGTCAAAATTCAGTTGACTTCTCCTTAAGAAAACCCTAATTTGGCAACTTTTGATGATTTGGGAGTTTTTCTTGATGAATCATGATCAAACCTTGATCAAATGATGAATATGACTCCAAAATATTGATGTTGACCAAAAATCATGAAGTTTGACTGTATGTTGACCACAATTGACTTTTTGTTCAATATAGTTGATTTTCAGTCATCTGAGCAATTAACTGAGAAAACTTGTGATGCAAGGCATGAAAGTTGGTATGCGCATTCTTGGAGACCTATAAGAAACCATGGAAACCACCTGAGGCCTTAGAAACCCAAACTTCCTTGAGAAAAATGAAACCCTAGTTGTAAGTCCATTGCTTAGGAGGAGAATTTGTCTGATCATTTCTTGAGCAACCTTGAGCATTTGAGAACCATAGCAGAATGTCTTGAATAAAAAGGGAGGGAAAATTTTGGGTTACAACAACATGGTACAAGATCAAATATTCCTTCGACTACACTGATTTTGTGGCGCAAGGACATTACTATGGTGCCATTTTGTCTATCACTCTCACTGACTGTTATGTGCGAATACAGTTGGAATTTTGGAATTCATATTCTACCTTCAATGAATATTTCTATGCCTATATAAATAAGCCTTGGAAGATTTGAAGAAGAACTTTTTCATGCTAAATTTTTCTAAGAGAACTTGAACGTAAACATTTCATCTTAGTGAGAAAAGTTGTAAAACAAGAAACTTTTGTTCATACACTTGCTTAAAAACACTTTTATATTAATCATTGTATTTCGTTTGTGTAATATGCTTTCATAGAAGCATGTTTATAAACACACATTTTGTATCTCAACTTTTGAGTTGTTATTCCTTGATAGACTAGGGTATAGTCAGAAGTCTCAAGAAGACAGTGACAGAAGGTCTTTGTGGTTGTAATCAAGTTTAGTTATACTGGATTAAGTCCTTGTGAGAAGGCGAAATTACCTTAATGGATAGACTGGAGGTAGCTTCATTAACAGCGAGCCAGGGTAAAAATATTGTGTTCATTATTTTTATTCTAAGTTCTTTGTTCTTTGTTTTGGGCCACGAAAAAGTTTCATTCTAGAAACCCAATTCAAACCCCTCTTTCTTGTGTTTCCTTAACCTTTAATTGGCATCAAAGCTATGGTTCGATATTGATTATTTATCAAACACTTCATCGTGTCAGATAAAGATTCAGATTCTCTGTGAAACACAATGGCAGGAGTCCCTTCACCAATTGCACCCGTTGTTAATGAAAGAGATCATTATAGTGTCAAACCTCTAATTTTTTATGGAGAAAAGTTTGATTATTGGAAAGATAAAATTAAAAGTTTCTTTCTCGGCCATAATGTATATCTATGAGATATGGTAGTTGGTGGCTACATACATCATGTTAATACTAGTGGTAACAAGATAGAAAGAAGAGTGGTGATTGAACAACAAAAGAAAGACTACAAGAATCATCACAAAGCAAGAACTATTCTTCAGAATGCTATGTCGTACGCTGAGTATGAGAATATCATAAAAAGAGACACAACTAAGTCTATATTTGATTCTTTAAAGATGACTCATGAAGGAAATGCTTAAGTGAAAGAAGCCAAGGTGGTTGCCTTGATCCAGAAGTATGATGCCTTCAAAAAAGAGGATGATAAAACATTTGAGAACATGTTCTTAAGGTTTCAGACTCTAGTTGTAGGAATAAATGTTCTAAACACATGTTACTCTATTGCAGATAATGTTAAGAAGATTATCATAAGCTTACCCAAGAAATGGAGGCCTATGGTAATTGCACTGAAACTGTCTAAGGATCCGAATAACACTTCTCTTAAGAAACTGGTTAGCTCTTTGAGAAGTCACAAGATAGAGCTTGAAGAAGACGGGCCTCAAAGAAAATAAATTTTTTTGGCTTTAAGATCTATGGGAAGGTTTGAAAAGACTAGAGCCTTTCAAGTTGAAGAGGAAGAGGAATCTGAAGAAGAAGATGAGACGTCTCTTCTCTCCAGAAGAGTTAATCAACTATGGAAGAAAAGACAAGGTAAGTTCAGAGGATTAAGAAGGATATGTGGTCGCTTCAAATCTATTTCTGGACAGAAGTAGTCAGGTGCCAACAAAGACATCACATGCTTTGAATGCAAGAAGCCAGATCACTACAAGATCGAAAGTCCTAAGCTCAGAAATGACAAGTCCAAGAAGGAAGTCTTCAGAGGGAAGAAGAAAGGGCTGATGGCTACCTAGGATGATTCTAATTCTTCAGAAGATGGTTTTGAGGAAGAACAAGCAAATATGACATTGATGGCAAGCATAAAAGTATATGATAAAAAGATTCAATCAGAATCAGAATCCGAGTCAGATTCAGAAGAGATATTTCCTAATTTATCTCGTTCTGAATTAACATCTTATTTATCTAAAATTCTAAAAAAATATCAAAAACTTCTGAACAAATACAAAGATCTGAAACAAATTCATATATATGAATCTGAAGCACAAGAATTCTCAAATATGAAAAGAAAAAAATTATTCTCCATTTTCATCTCATATATATTATTCTTGTATTTGAAAGATTATTCAATTTCCCCATTGAAGATGTGCTTGATGAATGTCCCATCTTTTGTAATGACATCCCAATCATTTATGCTTTGCCGACTAGTATTGACAATATAAAAAGTTATCAAATTGAAAAAATTAACGACACTTAACAAAAAAAACATTTCAGAGATACACCTTAGAATTCTGCAATGATGTCTACACAAATAAACTGAATTTCCATTCAATAAAGTTTGCTTCCACAATCCCCAAAAGGCAACAATTTTACAATTAAGATAACTAATAAAATAAAAATGAGTAAGGAATAAAATAAACTACAAAAAAAAAAAAATCTCCATCTCAAACATGAGTTCAAATATAAACACATCTTAATAAAAAACACAAATTTTATAGTCTAAAAACATATTTTTGAACAACTTATGCCATTCAAAAATACACTTGTCACTCTTAACTAGAATCGTCATTAGAGACAGAAGATGTCCAATACTTTTTGACAGCAAATAAAAGCTTCTCCCTTTCAAGAGGTCCATCCTCATGATCCACAATTTGACTCTCCCAATCTAAGCCATTGATTATGCTTTTCACTTTGACCAATATATCAACATCATCTCTAATTATTATACTTCCTTCTGGTCTAAGAATCCTATCCATCTCTAGCAATATGTCTTCCACTTCACATCTATAAACCAAAATGACAAGTAAATCAATATTCTGGTCTGAAATGTAAGAAATTTTTTTCATGAAAAATATATTTAATATTTAATATTTGTGTGTTCTATTTATCTATAGATTAATATATTTGAAAAAATTGAAAAATATATTATATAAAAATGCATACCTGTCATTATAAAGGCTAAAAACAGAATCAGCATGAATTAAGTCATAAGTTCTAGGATAAGTAGACATAGCTTCACACCTACAAATAAACAATTAAATTTCAAACTCTTTTAAAAATCCAAAAAAAAAAATTAATAATAAAAAAAGAAAACACTTCACTAACCAATTATGATATATTCCAATCAACCCTCTTTCATAAACTGCTCCAAGTGTATCAACTTTAGCTTGAATTGGAACAACATTCATAACCCAAACTGGATATTTAACAAGTGAAGCTGCAAATCCACCCAAATAAGCATTCATGTCTAATAAATTGCGGTATCTACCAGCTTTTCCAAGTTGACTGTTAACTTTTTTGTAATACGATACTCTTTTGTTCCATAGTTGATTGTCTTTTGAGAATGTTTGTGGTGTGACACTTTTTATAGTGCCTTTTGAAATCCTTGGTGGAGTTGATTTTAATCTTTGAGGCCAATTGTTTAATGCTCCTCCTGATGTTTCTTCTTTGTTGGACACTTTAGGAAGTGGACTCAAACATGTTTGCATGTTTGTGTACCTAAAAAAAGGTAATCAAAATAAATAAAAATATTTTTTCAGTATATAAACGAAATGATAATAATTACTAAAAAGTCACACACACAGTCATGAGTACCAAAATTTAAACCCTAGTAATGACGTCTAACTTAACAATTTTAAACACATGATGATAGAAAAATGAGGCACATACCAAGCTTTATCAGGCTTATTATCCTCTTGGCAAAAAGGCCTATTTTGTGTGCAATCAAAATGATTTTTGGGCTTTTGCCAAATAGCAATATCATCTTTTTCAACTAATTTGTTCCAACAAAGGCTTTTAGCAACATTCTCAATTTTGGTCTGTTCTTCATTCAAATCTTCTTTTGTTCTTTCCCATCCTTTCCAATATTTCTTCCAATGGATTGGTGGTCCAGATAAAATCCAATACCCACCGGGGCGTAGGATTCTATCAATTTCATTTAGATAAAGTCCGTCTGTAAAAATGAACATAAGTTGAATCATAAAATTTCGTTATAAATATTTTTACATTTGACTCTTCCTTTTGTCATTACCAATACGCTAATTATGCTTACGAAAAAGTCAGGTTTAAGCCTAAAAATAAGTTTATTATTGATTACAGACTAAATTTAATTTTTGAATTATTTATAAATTCAAATTTGACAAAGTCTATTTCACTCGACTCAACTTATTCTCGTCATAATCTTAATGTTAGTACTATTCAATAAAATATTACAAAAATTAAAAGAGTTAGAGAGAATGGTATACCATATTCAGGCCATGGAATGAGGCACCTAGAACAATGTGCCATGTCAAAAGCTCTAGAAGGGAAAGGCAATCTTTTAGAGGCTAAAACACCAATAATAGCAGGAACACCTCTTTCAAGAGCAAATTGAACTTGTGCTTCATGAGTGTCTCTTGGTGCAATTGAAACTGTTAATATGTTACGTGATAAAAGATATGCTCCCCAACTAGCTACCTGAAATACATATTCTTATTATTAAACTCAAATCTTGTTATCAATAATTAATCTGCTTGAGTTAACTACTACTCCTTAATAGTTATATTTAGTTATAGGTAGTTTTTAGTTAATGTTTTGTAATAAATTAGTTAAGATTGATTAATTAATCATAATATTAATACTAGCAGATGGTGTAGTATATTCATCTTAATATGACTTACAAAATAATTCAATCTTTTATTTTATTTTTCTCTTTCTTATCATTATTTTTCTCTTTATTAATGACAAAGAATAAAGCTTATATCATGAATCATTGTAGGGATGGATCGAATCTTTTAACGAACCCTTTAATCATATGACCAGCACGTGCATTTAATATGCAATTTTTTAATAATTCATGTAATGTAATTTATGGACATCGAGACACTAAATGTCTAAAGTTTTATTTAATTTTCTATAAATTTAGAATATAACCTACTTATAAGAGTGGAAATAGATTAGATTGAGTTAGACATTGTACTTAAATCTGACCTGTCAAAAAAATTAAAATATCTTTTCTAAAAATTAGTTAGCATGTTAGCTAATATAAAAGTCTATTATTTTAGATATATATAAATAAGAAATTTAAATAATATTTAAATAAATTAATAAACTAAAAGATCAATGAGACTAAAAGTTTATTTGTTTTATTTTAACTTATCAATTAACATAAATTATGTGAAATAATTTGTTTAAGAGGACATGTGAAAATAATTTATAACATTGTTCATAAGGTGTTTTCATCTTATTTTCATAAGTTCTTTAAGATAACTAAGTTTTATTTATGTATTTTGATTTAAAGTACAAAACATAATATAATTATAATAAAAAAAATTATTTATATTTATTTATATAGACAGACCTATTAAGTCTAAAATGATTTTTCATGATCTGAAATCTAATCTTTTTTAACTAAATATACTTATAAAAAAGCATAAACCTAACCTGAGTCTATGTAAGTTAGGCTATAAGCCCCTATAATTGACGGACTTATTTCCACTCCTACCTACATATAGTCAATGATCTATATATCCATATTTCCCATAAAAACACCTACCTATCCCCGATCCATTCATATTGTAGTCACTTGCACTAGAAAGGATCTTTTAAATAATTATTTTAAAGAAATTTTTTTAGTGCATTTGCTTAGATATGGTTTATATATTTTTCCAATGAAAAGATGATAAATATATAATTTTCTCTTAAATATATATAATTTCTTTGTATTTTTATTTCTTAAAAAATATTTAAATATATTTATTATATTTTTATTAAAAAAAAGTATAAATCACATCTATAAAATTATATTTAAATATTCTCTTTATTTTAATTATTCAAAACAAATCCTCTATTTAATTTTATTATGAATTAAAAAATTCATTAAATCAATTTAACTGATAGTTTAGCCAGAAGCATCTAATTACATAAACTTATTTATATTTGAATTCGAACACTCTATTTATTTTTAAGAGTGAAATTTTTGTCATTAAACTATTGTACAAAATATGTACATATATACTACTAATAACACCAATGGGACTAAATTCTTATTCTATCATAAATTTAATATTATTTTATAATATTTCTATCAATGATAGCTCTTTTTTATATTATAAATAAATTTCATTTTTTAAATTTATTAAATAATTAATATATCTGATTCATATATAAATTAGATATATTAGTTATTTAATTAATCTAAACATATAAAACTTACTTACTATTATATAGGACAGGACGGAGTAGTATGTATCATACTGAATCTCTAGGCATTGCTGAATGCAAAAATAGTGTAAGAAAATCTTCCATTTTTTGGGTCTATTCATGAATGGCCCAAACTGATCGCCAAAGGGCACATATAGAGACCATATGCATATTCTTTATCGTATTGACTATTTTTATAGCACAAAATAGTACTGTACTTAATAATGTAAAAAAAAAAGTCAACAACTTATAGCTTACATATAAATCATTGTATATCAATTTAAATTATTTTTTTACATATAAATCATTCATCTCAGGAAATTAATTAAAGAATTGTGTTAACATGTGTATTAAGAATACTAATTATAAATTTCTAGTAAAGAATACTATATACAAAATCAGAAAAAAATATTACTCTATTATACTTAATGCTACATATAAAATTATTGGCATAGAGTGTGATAGAGATAGTGAAATGGGGTAATATCGATTTTAAAATGAAAAATATTAAAATGATATTAAATTAAAAATAATGCAGGAAATATTAAATAAAAAAATTCATTAAAATTAATTAATATTATATTAAAAACAATCACCCTTTTAAAATACTTTTTATTAATTGATTTAGTTATTTCTAATTAGAAAAAGAAATTAGAGAAAATAAGAGATGAAAAGGAAAAGTAAGACAATGATTTAGACTTGTTTTGGGCCCATTGCTTTAAATTATGAATTGACTAGAAAATTGTTTTAGAGAAAAGATCAAATCACTATATACCCCATCACAATAATAACCCAAAAGCCTACCCCATACAAAGACAAAACACCTATCAATTTCCATTTTTGGAACCTTGCGCCAGCCATATGCCATGTTCACATTTCCTATTTCATAGGAAAAGATATAAAACCTTCCTTAAGTTCATGTAAACAAAATAAACCTTGCATAGGTTCATATGAAAAAACTTCCTTAGATTCATATCAACCTAAAAAACCTTCCTTAATTGGTACTACTACTAAAAATGTAAGGCTACTTACGTATGCATGTGCTTTACAAAAACACTAAAATTTCTCTTCTAAAATATATTATTAATCAGGATAGTCTTTAAGAAAGCGTAAAATAAAACTTGACACATTTAAATAACAATTAAAAGAATTTTATAAAATATGAACAGATCATTCTTATCCTAAAAGTAAAACGTACCACAAGATTAAAATCTTACGAAAAAATTATATAGACAACGACAAAGAAATAGACACGTTAACTTTCAAGACAAAAATGTCACCTTTCACTACAATTTTGTTACTTAATAAAGGACAAATATATTTCATCTAAAAAACCAAAAACAACACTATTTAACGTGCATTTATGATTATGCAGTAATAAAATAATTTTATATTAATTAATTTAATAAATTGATTATAATTAAAAATAAGTTAAAAATAAATAATTTATAATTGACATATATTTAAGCAAAAATAATGAAGTATTTACCATAAAAAAACAAAAAGCTTACCCCACAGCCAGTATCAACAGCGGTTCGAACAGAACCATCTTTAAGATTTATAAGCTTTCCAATATCATCAATATACTTATCAGCACCATCTGGAAACATGGTACCACCACCAGGGAACCGGAATCTATCACCGTCAAACCGGATCCAATTTTGAACTGCTTTCTCCACCGTTAAATGACGGTAAGGTACATTTGCATACCATGCCATGTCCCTGCTTGTGGGCCAAGGGAATGGATTCTTGTAACCCTTTGGTGCCGGAACACGACATTTTAGTATTTCGTTTGACTTTGGACAGTGTCGTTCGCGGTAAATCATTCTGTCGCGCGTGTGTTTTAGGGAGCGTGCGCGGTCTTCGCAGGGGGTGTAGTCTGTTAGTGAGGGGGTGCAAGGTGGGTAACGGTGGTTTGAGGAGGAGGAGGATGTTGTTGATGAGGTTGTTGTTGGGTCTGTTGTGTTGTGGTGTGGGAAGAAATCTAGGTTGGTTGTTTTTTCGTTTGGGGTTGGGTTTGTTGTTGGTTTTTTTTGGAGACATTGAGTTGTGGAGGTTTTTTTGGTTGTTGTTGTGCTGCTGCTGCTGGTGGTGTTTTGGTATGAACCTAGAAGGTAGGAAATGATGCAAAGAAGAGCTAGGAGAGAGTAGAGATTTGTTTTTTTGCAGTTTAAAAAGGAGGTGGATTTGTTGGGTTTGAAGGGCTTTGGGGAGGTGCTGTTAGCACTTGGCATGGTGGAGTTTGAGGAAGTGTTTGTGTGAGTTTGAGGAAGATGAGTTTTGTATAGATTTGAGGAGTTTTATGATGATTATGAGTTTGGGGAAATGGAGTATCTAAGAAAGGATGAGATGGGACCTGATTTTGGGAGAAAGTGAAATGTGTGTTTTCCCTAATTAGCCAATGGCTTTGCTTCTTACTATGGTATTGAATGATTTTAGTGTTATTTTATTGGTAGGATATGAGTACATTGAAAAGGGGTAAAAACAGAAGGGAAGGAGTAACTGTTTATTTACGTATTGTCTACTCTTTCCATACATTCTTCTTGTGTGGATATAAAGATGATAAGATGTTGGTTGTTTGTTGGTTGAGAATTATTTCACCACAAAATTGAATTTACCAATCTTCTTTAAGGAATAATTTTTGTTGGAAATAATTTATATTTTAACAATATCTAAGAATATTTTTTTTTATCTTTATTAGAGTGTATTTTAATATTTTATTATATCATAATTTTGTGTTTAAATAGTCTAGCAGTAGGTAGGTCATTGTAATTTATTGTAAATTCATTATTCCTTATTCTGTAGGCGTCATTAAATATATATTTTTGTCTTTCATCTCTTCTTGTGTACTAACAATTGGTATCAGAGTTCCGGTTCGAAATTCACGAGAAAATAGAAAACACGAGTGAACAGTGAGGTATTATTGAGAATCGTTTTTCTGATTCTGTGGGATTTGGGAAATACTTTTAGTGAATTTTGAGTGAATTGCACAAGGTTGAAGATGAACGGAAACGACGATATAAATCCAAGCTTCCAGCGTTTGATGGCAAAAACTGGAATAGTTGGAAGATCCAGATGCGTGTGTTATTTGGTTCTCGAGATGTGTTAGATCTTGTCACCGATTGCTATGCTCCGTTAGAAACAGACGCAACAGAGAGACAGAAGATAACGCGGAAGGCGCTAAGGAAGAAAGATCACAAGGCGTTGTTCTACATCCATCAATGTGTGGATGCGAACATGTTTGAGAAGATTGCTGACTCTGAAATAGCAAAGGTTGCGTGGGACACACTGGTCAGATGTTACGGTGATGACGCATCAGTGAAGAAGGTGAAGCTTCAGTCTCTCAGAAAGCAATATGAGAATCTCAAAATGAAGGACAACGAGAAGGTTTCTGAGTACATCTCTAGAGTGATTTTGATCACTAATGAGATGAAAGCCTGTGGAGAAACTCTTTCTAAACAAGTAATCATTGAGAAGATATTGAGATCTTTAACTTCTCAGTTTGATTATATTATGGTAGCAATTGAATATTCCAAAGATCTGAGCACCATGAGAGTTGAAGAGCTGCAAAGCAGTCTAGAGGCGCATGAGTTGCGTATGACTGAGAGAACTTCTGAGAGGGAAGTAGAGCAGCAGGCTCTGAAAGTAACTTCTAGTAAGAAATATCAGAAGCAGACTTGATCAGAAATCAGGAAGAAAACTAATGATGGTCAAAGGTCAGAAGCTTCAAACTCTGATAGGCAGAAGAATATCCAGAAAGGAAAGGAGAAGTCTGACAAGAAGAATATTCAGTGTTACTGTTGCAAGAACTTTGGTCACTATGCCAAATATTATTGGTCGAATAAAGAAAGGAAGTCAGAAGAAGCAAATATAGCCAGAGGAGAGTCTGATGATGAACCTATGCTATTATTGGCTTCTGAACCTGATAATATGAATTCGTCAGAATGGTGGTATATGGACACATGATGTTCAAACCATCTTACTGGAAATAAGAAATGGTTGGTTGATTTTGACTTTGGGAAGAGTACAAAGATCAAATATGCTGATGATAAATACCTTAATGCAGAAGGTATGAGAAATGTCAGAATCATTCTAAACAATGGGAAAGCAGCAGTGATCCAGAATGTATGGTATGTACCTGGCGTAAAAAGCAATTTGATGAGTATGGGACAACTGATTGAGAAAGGTTTTTCAGTTACCATGAAGGACAATCTTCTGAATTTGTATGACTGTAATTAGAAGCTGATTATGGAGTCATAACAGGGAAGGAACAAAACATTCAAGGTGAATGTTAGAACTGCATACTCTGAATGTCTTAGTGTAACAAGTGTTGTCAAGGAGAGTGAGATGTGGCATAAAATATTTGGTCATCTGAATTTCAAAAGTTTAAGGCATTTGAAATCAAAGAAGCTGATACATGGAATTCCTATAATCAAGAAGCCTGAGAAGTCATGTAAGGTGTGCATGGAAAGGAAGCAACCAAGATTTCCATTTTCATCAGAAGTAGCTCCAAGAGCAAAGCATGCCTTGGAAGTAGTGCATTCTGATGTATACGGTCCATTTCCAGTAGTATCAACTGGAAGGAATAAATACTTTGTGCCATTTGTTGATGAGTTCACCAGAATGACATGGGTATCTCTCATAAAGTTCAAACACGGGGTGTTTGCTGAATTCAAGAAGTTCAGACTAAAAGTTGAGAATCAGAGTGGCCAGACTCTATAGATTCTTAGAACTGGTGGTGGTGGTGATTATAACTCCACATAATTCGTAAGGTTCTGTGGGGAGAATGGAATTGAGCATAAGGTTATTTCTCCCTATATTCCTCAACACAATGGTCTTGATAAAAGAAGAAATTGTACTTTGCTTGATATGGTGAGAAGCATGCTGAAAGAGAAGAAGCTTCCTCATACTCTGTGGGGAGAAGTTGTTGCCACTGCATGTTATGTGCTCAACAGATGTCCAACGAAGAAGCTGAAGGAAATAGTTTCTATTCAGAAGTGGACTGGAGATAAGCAAAGTGTTAGTCATCTGAAGGTGTTTGGTTCTGTATGTTACAAACATGTCCCAGAAGCCAGAAGACAGAAGCTGGATGATAAAAGTAAAGTAATGTTACTGGTGGGGTACCACAGTACAAGTTCGTACAAACTTTATTGTCCAGAAACTAACAAAGTTGAGTTCAGCATAGAGGTCATTGTAAAAGAACCAGAAGTCTGGAATTGGGAAAGGTCTCGTCCCGACTCTGATGAGAGAACTCCTGAAGAAAAATCAGAAACACATGTTTCTGAAGACTCTGACTCTGAAGAAGATTTAGAAGGTGAAGATGATTCTGACTTTGACTCCAAGAGTGATTCAGACTCTGGGAATTTTCAAGACTCTGAAGACAGTCAAGATTCTGGACAAAGTCTAATTTCTGAACCAAGAGCTTCTGAAGGGGAAAGTTCTGGTGTCCAAGGTTCTGAAGTTCAAATTCAGAGGAAACAAAGAGTCAGAAGCATCCCAAGAAGATTTGCAGAGTTTGACATGTTACAAGACACTGAAGTAGACTCTGAAGGAGAAGTTATTCAGTGTGCAATGTTAGTAGACTCTGAACTCGTGAGTACGAAAAAGGCTCTTAAGCAGCAAGTCTGGTTGCAGGCCATGAAAGAAGAACTTGATGCTATAGAGAGAAACAAGACTTAGAAGCTGAGAGAACTTCCAAAAGGCAAGAAATCCATCATCGTTAGATGGGTTTTCAAGCAGAAGCTAAATTCAGATGGATCAATTGGAAAACACAAAGCAAGAGTAGTAGCAAGAGGATTTCTATAGAAGCCTGGGCTGGATTACTCTGAAGTGTTTTCACTTGTAGCGAGACATGAAACAATCAAACTAGTGATTACAATAGCTGCTAACATGAATTGTCCTCTGATGCATTTAGATGTAAAATCTGCATTTCTGAATGGTCCATTACAAGAAGAGGTACATGTGTCACAACCTCCTGGATTTGAGAAAAAGAATCAGGAAGGGATGGTGTTCAAATTACACAAAGCCTTGTATGGATTGAAGCAAGCGCCCAGAGCCTGGAATCTGAAGATTGATTCATTTTTCAAGGGACAAGGGTTTCAGAAGTGTGAGATGGAGTATGGTGTTTATGTTCAACACACTTCAGAAGGTAATATGATTCTGGTATGTTTTTATGTTGATGACATATTACTCACAGGAAGTTCTGCAGAAGAGATAGTTAAGTTCAAGAAGGTTCTGACAAATGCGTTTGAGATAACAGATATTGGGAAAATGAGTTTCTTTCTAGGGATGAAATTTATGTACTCTGAGAAAGGAATCATTTTGCATCAGATGAAGTATGAACTTGAGCTTCTGAAGAGATTTGAGCTTGAAAACTGCAAAGTTGCTATCACACTTGCTGATACGAATCGGAAGTTGGAATCTGATTCTGATGGAGAGGATGTGGATGCTACAACCTTCAAACAGTTGGTTGATTCTCTGAGGTATTTGTGTAATACCAGACCTGATATTTGCTATGAAATTGGAATGATTAGAATATTTATGAGTAAACCAAAGTGGTCTCATTACCAAGCTGATGTCAGGATTCTAAGGTATGTGAAGGGAACTCTTAAGTATGGAGTGTTATTTCCTTCCGGAAGAAAGATCGAATTATAACTTCTGAGTTATTCAGACTCTGATTGGTGTGGAGACAAAGTTGACAGAAGAAGTACTTCTGGGTACTTATTCAAATTTCTGGGAGGTCCTATTTCTTGGTGTTCCAAGAAGCAACCTATTGTTGCACTATCAACATGTGAAGATGAATATATTGTAGGAGTTGTGACTGCATGCCAAGCTGTGTGGATTCTAAACTTGCTGCAAGATCTGAAGATTGAGGTAAATAAACCTCCGAAACTGATGATTGATAACAAGTTTGCATTCAATCTTGCCAAGAACTCAGTGCTGCATGTGAGAAGCAAGCATATTGAGACCAAGTATCACTTTCTAAGGAATCAAATTCAGACTGGAATATTAGAAATTGTGCACTGTAGCACCCAAAAGCAGCTGACAGACGTTCTAACAAAGGCTATAAAGATTGATCAATTGTTTCGTTTGAGGGATGGAATTGGTGTTGTCAGTTTTGTGTAAATATAAATTAAGGAATGGTGATGGAAATAATTTATATTTTAGGAATATCTTTGTTAGAGTGTATTTTAATATTTTATTATACCCTAACGTTGTGTATAAATAACCTAGC